ACCATCTTGGCTCACTGCAACCTCTGCCTCCCGGGTTCAAGCGATTCTCCTGTCGCAGCCTCCCCAGTAGCCGAGACTACAGGCGTGCACCAGCACGCCCAGCTAATTTTTATATTTTTAGTAGAGATGGGGTTTCACCATGTTGGCCAGGATGGTCTCGATCTCTTGACCTCGTGATCCGCCCGCCTCGGCCTCCCAAAGTGCTAGGATTATAGGCGTGAGCCACCGCACCAGGCAGACCTCATCTTTCAAAAAAAAAAGAAAAAAGAAAAAAGAAAAAGACTCCCACAGTGGAATCAAGTGAGCATGAGAATCAGTTTCTTCATCTCCCTGTTTCACGACCTCACCCTGCACTCTTCAATCAATGATTTTCACACTTCAGCCCAATCCTACTCCAAACCCTTAAAAACCCTGGCCCCAAAGTACTCTGGGAGATGGATTTGAGGTCTCCTCCTGTCTCCTTTGCAGCAGCCCTATGATTAAACCTCTTTCTCTGCTGCAACCTGGTGTCTTGGTGTATTTACCTCCAGTGTGCATCAGGCAACAGAACTATTACAGTTAATACTTTTAGCCTAACATTCAAAGGCCCTCCCCATCTATCCCAAACTACCTATCCAATTTCTGGTCCCATTGCCTCTCAGCGGGACCCTGGCTTTACTCAACAAACTCTGCTGTTCCCCTAGTCTTGACATCTCAGTAAACAATATCATCATCCAGTTTGTTGCTCAAGACAAAAACAGAGAAGTCATGCTGAATTCTCTTTCCCTCAGACTCTCTAAATCCAATCCACCAGGAAATCTATTTCCAATCATGTCTCAAATCTCTCATCTCTTCATCTCTACTACCTCACTCTAGTTCAAGTAAGACACCATCATCACTCACCTGGACCAATGCATTAGCCTCCTGACCACTGCATAATCACAATTCATTTGTCACACATCAGCATAAAGTGGATTATGGTATAAATTCCAACTCAGCATCCTGGTTTACCAAGTGTGGCCACTCTCCGGCCTACCTCTCCAACCCTATCTCACACCATTCTCTTTTTCACCCACAATGCACCAACCACATTAGCTTCTTTTCTATTTCTCTAACTTGCCAAGCTCAGACCTGGAAGGCATTTTTTTCACCCTGACATATGCATGGCTAGCTCCTTCTTGTTATTTAGATTTCTGGTGATTCGCCTTCGTGGAAATGGCTTCACTAGCCACTAAGTAGTGACTATCAGATGGCCCTATTTTTATTTCCTACATAGCGCTTATCACTATGGGATGTTTTTACTTTTCGCTCTATATTCCCCACTAGAAAAAAATCTCTACGTGGGCATGGGATGTTGCGGCTTCGTTTCCATTGAATTACCAAGGCTTAGAATACCAGGGCTTGAAACGCAAAAAAAATTCTAACACTTGTGGACTGACTGAATGAACTCTTGATTCTCACCACTCTTCAGCCCCTCCCCCACTTTCAGGACAGTCTTCCTGAAGGCATTTGGTTTATCAAGCCACTTGATTTCCGTCTATCATTCCTAATAAAATGCTAAGTTTCAAGAGCTCAGAGACAGGGTTTGCGTGCATAAGCGCTGTATCCCAGTAGGCGGCCGGCAGACTTTCTGTTAGTTGAATCCATGAATGGGACAATGGGGCTAAGTTTACATGGGGGTCGGCCATGCCTGGGGTCTGCGGAACGCACGCAAGATAGGATGAATGGACGTCTCCACTAAAGCAAATGCGTGGGCACCAAGTAGACACAGCTCGGCTTGGGGGGATACTGAAGGGGCCAGACCAGGCTTGGGCTAGATGACGAAACGCTGCACCTGGAGGAGGTTCCAGGTCCGTACGCGGTAACTATACTCACGTGGAAGACGCACTCGCGGCCACAGAGCACCTCGAATCGTCGCGCGCGCTTGTTACGTCATCCACGTGCGCCGCGGGTAGAGACTGGACCTGCCTGCGCCGGGGCGACTACGCCCCGCCCACTTTTCCCAGCCCGCACGCAAAATTCTAGGTTCTTGGAGGGGAGAGGTTTATCCCCACGTGGTTTCTCGCACAAATCTGTCTTGAATTGACGTTTGTGAAAATACATTCTGTTCCCCATCCACGCGGGGACAGTTAAGTAATGACATCAGTCATTTAAGGCTATAACGCAAGCATGTGAAAGGTGTACTTTGGAGGCATTACGAGGAAGCGCTTCTCTGCTTGGCAAGATCAAAGTGACTGAAAGATGCTTAGAAGTCATCCACCAGCCGGGCTGTGTTTGAGTTCCTGAGCTCTCCCACCCCATCCATGTGAAGGCCTGCGGGATGCCGGACAGGATGTCACTTAGAAGGGAGACGGAGGCTGGGCGCGGTGGCTCCCGCCTGTAATCCGAGCACTTAAGGAGCCCGAGGCGGGCGGATCGCTTGAGCCCAGGGGTTCGAGACCAGTCTGGGCAACAATGCGAAACCCTGTTCTCTAATGAAAAACACAAAAATTAGCCGGGTGTGGCGGTGCACGCCTGTGATCCCAGCCACTCGGTGGGCTGAGGTGGGAGGATCGCTTGAGCCCGGGAGGTCGAAGCTGTAGTGAACCGAGATGGCGCCGCTGCACTCCAGCCCGGGCGATAGAGTGAGACCCCGTTTCAAAAAAATCAGAGAGGGCCAGGGACGGTGGCTCACACCTGTAATCCAGGCACTTTGGGAGGCTGAGGCGGGTGAATCACTGAAGTCAGGAGTTTGAGACCAGCCTGGCCACATGGGGAAACCCCGTCTCTACTAAAAAAAAAAAAAAAAAAAAATTAGCAGGGCGTGGTGGCAGGTGCCTGTAATCCTAGCTACTCAGGAGGCTGAGGCCGGAGAATCGCTTTAACCTGGGAGGCGGGGGTTGCAGTGAGCCGAGATCGCGCCACTGCACTCCAGCCTGGGCGACAGAGCCAGGCTTCGTCTTAAAAAAAAAAAAAAAAAAAAGTCAGAGAAAAGAGACAGGGGTATCGGGAGTTGGGATGGTGCACCGAGGCGCCTCGCAGTCTCCAAGGTGCAAGGTGATAAGCAGCGAGAAGGAGCTGGAGGTAGCGACGAGACCCGCCCACCGGTGACGTCACCGAGGGCCCCCCCCCAACGAGCATCCGCACCTCCCGAAGGCGGAGCTCCGGCGCATCATGGCGGCTGGCGGGGCTCATTCCTCTTCCTCTGTGAGTGCTGCTATTCGTCCCTTGTTCCTTTTTTCTTGTTTGTCACAGATATTCTTTTTCTTCCTATTTCCTCTGCCTTGTCTCTGTGGGCTCGCTGGCCGCGTCCGGACCATGGGTGAGGGGGTTGTGAGTCGGTCGGCTCCTACCTCTTACTGGTTCTGCGAATGTTTATTCCCTCATTCACGCGGCGCCCCCTGTGAGCCTTAAACTGGCCTCCGTGCACTCTCTAGGGTTTAAGCCCGGTGGGAAACCAGGAGCAGGTTAATGGGGTAACTGTGGGGCTCTGGGTTCCTGGAGAAGACCCTTGACGGAGCTGTAGGGGAAAAGGGCAATCATAATAAGAAAAAGCGTCTGAGACCCGAAGTGCGTGTAGAAGGCAAAAAGCGCCAAAAGGGGCCGGGTGTGGTGGCACACGCCTATAATCCCGGCACTTTGGGAGGCCGAGGCGGGCGAATCACTTGAGGTCAGGAGTT